ATAATTTATAGTGCCCCGCTCACACTATAATAATAGGCAAGCATCTGGGCCCTGTAAAGAAAAATTGCGTAAGGTTAAATATATCGATAAATACTTTACAAGGTCCTTACTCCCTATATAGACTAGGCACACGCCAAACAAATAAAAAAAAAAAAAAAAAGCGGTTAAGTGTATGTCGCTCTGCTGTACAGTAGATTACAAGTGGGTAATTGAATAATGGATTGTATTAAATTTGAGGGGCCCCGGCACTGGCAGTTACCTATTCCCCCTTTATTTTTGTAAAATGAACTAAATAGTATTAAATACTACATTATTATGATATTATAATGATAATTTACACTAATGATGATACAAACTGTTTAATTTACAATAGTTAAATTAATAAAAAAAAAAAAAAATGCATCTATTATTAAACTTTAAATGCCTCACATTCAGTAAACCTTGATTCTAATGCCATAATTGTTGAGTTAAAATAACTTGAAAAAATAATTGTATTCTACTACAAAATTGTGATTTGTAATTACCAAGAAAGTTGAAAATTTTAAATATGACATATATTTAGATTATCTAAAAAGTAAAAAGTCCTTATTCAATGTAATGTAACTAATATTTCTAGTATTTCCTAAATATGTATTACAATTTGTTACAATAATTTATATTTATGTAGGTGTGGCTGGATCTGTATCCGCAGTAGTTGCTGACAATCTTCAGTATGCTTCAGAAAATCTAACTTCTGCAGTGAATTCCGTTGGTTTAGTTGTTAGTGACAATATTCAAATTGCATCTGATAATCTAGCACATGCTATGAACAGTGTTAGTGGTAATATCCACTCAGCTACTAGTAATTTATCATTTGCTGTTACTTCAGCATATTCAATGTTCAAACAAAAAACCACAGAAATACAAGTAAACTAATTGAAATTGTTTTTTAGATTATATAATAATTATAATATATGTCAACTGTTTAAGGAAATTGGAGAAAATGCTAAGGAACGAATAAAAAAGTATGCAATGTATTCACCTCATTCTGATAGAAATACCATTGATGAAGATAAAGCTCAATTAATGACAAAACAGTTATTAGTTGAGTTGGGTCTTGATATAGATTCCTACAGTATGAGTAATAGGTATGTCTTGAAAAATATATTATTTACCTACCTTTTTAATATTTATTTGTAAAAATTACTATAAAAATTAAAAAAGACACAAAGTATGGTTATAAATTATTATATTTTTGTACCAAAAAAATGTATATTTACTTTATATTTTTTTTAGAATAAATAAAGTTATAAGTTATAAATTTAATGAAAACTCAATTTATTTTGTGTATAAAATAAAATATAATTTATTATAATTGAATACATTTTAAATTGAAACCTATTTAAATACAATTAGTTAGGTAACTAATATATTTTAAAATTTCTAATTTAGTGTAAGCATATATACCTATTTATTATTTAGATCATTTTTTAGATCTTTGTCTAGCAGTCTTGAAGATATATCGTCTATAAAATCTTCTATTGCGCCAGATAATCGTTCGATAAGTTCTGGAATTATGATGTCTGATAATGCATCAACAGTTTGTGAAGATGTTGAAAGCAGTGATCAGAATGATTTTGATACTATCAAGTAATCATTTTATAATCCTCATTTTAAGTTTAATCAAATCTAACATTTAATTATTATTTAACCCAACCAATCAGATTCTTCATCATACTCATCTAAACTTTGTTTAGTAGGTACAAAATATCATATTTGATAAAACTTTTAATGTCAATATATTTTTATCTTATGTTGCCTAGACATAATATTCAGTAAAATGCTATTTTGTTAGTTTTAAAATAAACATTTGTTTTTAATTATAGAATAAACAGCTGAAGTAATTGCTGATGCTAAATAAAGTACTTAAGTATGGTAAACTAAATACATATCTCAAACAGCCTATTCTGTTAATTTTTTAGTAAAACCAAATATTAGTTTCTTATTATAGGGTTTATCCAGCAGATCTATAGATTATGTATTTTTTTCATATTATGATCATGTGATGTAGTATAACTATTTTTTAATTTGAAAGATAGTCTTCTTAATTTTTGATTACAATTGTAAATCTATTTATATGAGTATGTACTGATATTGTACTGGTATCATAATATAATATAATAAATGTTCTAAAATAGCATGTTAATATTACACATATAAATTGGAATATTAATCTAAAAAAAAAATTTTATCAAGAACATAACATCATAACATTATTAAATGTATATTATATTATATGTTTGATAGTCCCTGGCAAGAGTTTACCAACAGTAAAACAGAGAATAAAGAAAACGATTTATGTTCATTGGTAGAAAATATCCTTTTTGTTGTCATGTGGCGAGGAGTCAATATTCATAGCAAAAACTGTTGGAAGGTAATTTTAATGTGTGAATACTGAATAATATGAATATACTTTTGGAATGATTTAAAATTTTTTAGGAACGTGGTCAAGTTATGGCGTGCATAAATATGCTAAGTTTAAACAATATGTTATATTGTTCACATTTAGAACTGAAGCTACATATTTTAGAAAAAGCTGTTGAAGCAGTATTAAGTGATCTTCACGATTCTGGATCTACTGTTGACTGTGATCATGCTAAAATGGAAAATATTGGTCAGTTGATAGGCTTGGTGTATGATTTAGTTGTACTGGATCCAAGTCCAAATTTTGACAAAAAGTGTTCAGTAAAATTACTCGATGGTTGTATAAAATTAATTGAACAGTTAGCTATTTTTGGAGATAATCAAGAACAGTACAACAAAGATATCGCTATGAAGACATATGGTAAGAATTGTTATGATATAATATAGAATTATTGTTATTTATTAATTTATTAGTTATTTATTAACTTTTATATGTTGAATTATATTTTTTGATTGTAATTGTTTTCTTTTTATTTTAAGGACTCTTGTTGAGCTGCTCATCAAGTTCTAATATGGAAATTTGTGCTATGGCAACAGTTAAGTTGCACACTATATTACAAACAAGTAATAAAAGTGTTATAGAAGTTGAATGCTACTTATTGCGCTCGGCAAATACTATTTTACAAAAAGCTCTCAAAGGTAAATAGAATTTAAAGCTTCCAATTGAATAATAATTAATAAAGTAAAAATAAAATTCATATGTTTTAGATGATAATATGGAACGCTATTCTTTTATTTTACCATTAGTAAAAACTCTCATTACTAAATTATCTGAGCCACTAAATATTTCTAACTCCGAACTCCCCAATTTAACAGAAGTCTTGTACAGTGGAAATTTTTATGACAGATTTTTACCATACTGTTCTACTGAAGACTGGACAGTTTTTATCGAAACTAAGGTAAGATTATATGTTTTACCATTCAATTTTCTTGAAATTATTGGTCCATAAAACACTAGTTATATCACTGGTAATATTATAGTATTCTAATAGTACATAGTATAATAGTATATTATTATAGTTAGTTAAGGTGAGTCAAGCACTGATCTAGAAGGGGGTGCTATAGCACTCCCTTGGCATGTTGCTTCATGGAAAATAAATACTCTACAGTCTACACAACATGTGCATGGTATTTTTCAGTAAGCCAAGGATATTTCTAAATAAAATTTGTATAAAAAAAAAAGTTGTTGAGAAATTTTTGCCTAATGCTGAAACCCCAGAAACACTGCCCTAAACTATATACAGAGGAACAAATTCACTTCAGCTACTCAGCATTTTTTTTGAACTAATTTTTGGAACATTCCTACGTTTACAACGAGTTAAGAACGATGGTGAAAAAAAGAATTTGAGGGGAATCATCATTTTGGAAGTATTATATCCTTGAATCCTTTCATAGTTTTCGATTTTACGTTTAGAAGCATGCTAACAATACGGTACTTTAATGTTTAACAAATTTTGATATTTTTTTTAATGTATTTTAACGTATTTTTATTTGTTAAAGGCACTTGGCCCTACAGAAAATTACAGTGTTATGCATATGCGTGTGAATGCTTAAAATCGCAAACTTCAAAATATTGATATCCTCAATTTTTTGCACCATCGTTCTTAACTCGTTGAAATACGCATATTTAAAAAAAAAAAATGCAGGGCTTAGCTAAACTGAATTTATGCCATATTAAATAGTATTGTTTTGAAAGTTGAAATATTAGGCATATTCATTTTGAGGAATAAAAAAAAGTCTTTCAATCAGTGTGGACTGTGTGGAGTATACGGAATACGAGACCTTAGCCTTAGTACTTCCCATAAAAAATTCCTAGATACTCCACTGAGTTGAGGTATTTATTATAATGTCATATTGATGAACTAATTTTTAAAAGTGTATGCAATACTGCAATACGCATATTATGTATTATAAGATGTACTAATGTATTTGTCCATTTTTGAATTTTGTGGTGGTTATGATGTACTATGTTGAAATATTTTTAGTACCAAAATGATAATATTATGAGGGAATGATTAATCTTGTTTTTAAAATTGTTCATATATGGTAATATGAGTATTATAATAGATAGTGTTTCTTATATTTTAATTATTATAATAATATATTGAAATTAAATTATACACTTATATGCTAAGTAAAAAGTAAAAAAACCACACATTTTTATATTTTAATATGAAAAGTGTGTTTTTATCACTATCTACTTTACATTACACTATTGATGTTTAATAATTAAGGTGATTACATTTCAATATACAAGTTTGTAAATTTATTTCACCTTTAGTTTGACATAACAAAAAAAAAGTACATAGGTAAAATATATATATTTAAATATGGTATTTATTTATACATCTAAATCTTAATATATAATTCATTACTATATAATATATAATTTAAGTGGCTCACCATTAAATATTGGCAAAAAATAGGTTATTTGATAATATTCATACCACAATATATGAGAGTTGGCAGAATAATATTGCATATTTTACAATAGTTTAACATAAAAGTATAAAATACAAAATTTTGTAATTTTATCATCATAGACTTTCAGTGATTTTCCATTGGTTGTCAGAATAAGTATGAGCACTTGAATTTTGTTCAGAATTATATTCATTACTTCTATGATTAATTGGAGAATTATCACTTAGTGAAGCAAGGCTATCGTTTACTTGAGATGGTGATTCTTCGTAGTTAAAACTAAAAGTCTTTTTAGGTGCCTGAAAACCTATATCTGGCTTTTGTGTACTCTTAGCTATGTATTTTAAGTACGCATTTAGTTTGTCGTTTACAACTACTTTTTTCCCTTTCAGTTTTTCATCTAAATTTGAAGACGACGCGGTATCAGTGCTTTCTAAAGATTCTTTGTGGCGTCTTTGTAATATGTTTGACGGCGTTGTTTGTGTATCTGGACTCTGAGTGTTGTATTGTGAGCTAACCATATGAAATGAGTCTTCTGATGATTGGCTTGAATCTCTTTTATTAGTTGGTTCTCCATATGAGTTAACCATTGTTGAATGAGAATTTGGTTCTGGATATGAAACAGAGTTTGATATACTGCTGTAAGAGCCTTGAATGTCTCCATTTCCTTTAGGTGAACCATAGGTAATTGAAGGTATTGGTGCACTAAATTGAGTGCGGGAATTAAATAAACTTCCTATATTAAATGAATCTAAGTTGTTACTATGAGAAGATGACCCGAACGAACTAAATGATCCAGAAGTTGGGGTTCCATAGGATGATGATAGGTCTTTAGAAGGTGCTCCATATGCAGTTGATGGGACGGGAAGTGAAACAGAAGGGCTTATTGAAATCGAATGACTAGAAGATGGTGCGTTATAGTTATTTGTCGGTACTCCATAAGATGTTGCTGGTGGTGATGGGGCGCCGTATGATGACGATGGTTGTGATGGTGCACCGTATGATGACGATGGCTGTGATGGTGCCCCGTACGATGACGATGGTTGTGATGGTGCACCGTATGATGGTGATGGCTGTGATGGTGCTCCGTACGATGACGATGGTTGTGATGGGGCGCCGTATGATGACGATGGTTGTGATGGTGCACCGTACGATGAAGATGGCTGCGATGGTGCTCCGTACGATGACGATGGTTGTGATGGGGCGCCGTAAGATGACGATGGTTGTGATGGTGCACCGTATGATGACGATGGCTGTGATGGTGCCCCGTAAGATGTCGATGGCTGCGAGGGTGCACCGTACGATGACGATGGTTGTGATGGCGCGCCGTATGATGACGACGGTCGTGATGGTGCACCGTACGATGAAGAGGGAGGAGGTGGTGCGCCGTACGATGACGATGGTTGTGAGGGTGCACCGTATGATGAAGATGGTTGTGATGGTGCCCCGTACGATGACGATGGCTGTGATGGGGCGCCGTATGATGACGATGGCTGTGATGGTGCTCCGTACGATGACGATGGTTGTGATGGTGCGCCGTATGATGACGATGGTCGTGAAGGTGCTCCGTACGATGACGATGGTTGTGGCGGTGCGCCGTATGAAGACGACGGTCGTGATGGTGCACCGTACGATGACGAGGGAGGAGATGGTGCGCCGTAAGACGACGATGGTTGTGATGGTGCACCGTATGATGAAGATGGTTGTGATGGTGCACCATAAGAAGAAGATAGCAATGGAGCATCATATGTTAAAGAAGGGAAAGATTTCAAAGAAGATGATCCATGTGATGATGATTGACTTTGTGATGGTGCTCCATAAGAAGATGACGGTGGAGCTCCATAATTGGTTGATGGTGGAGCTCCATATGAAGACGACGGTGGAGCTCCATATGAAGACGACGGTGGAGCTCCATATGAAGACGATGGTGGAGCTCCATATGAAGACGATGGTGGAGCTCCATATGAAGACGACGGTGGAGCTCCATATGAAGACGAAGGTGGTGCTCCATATGAAGACGACGGAGGTGCCCCATATGACGATGATGGAGGTGCTCCATATGAAGATGATGGTGGAGCTCCATATGAAGACGATGGTGGAGCTCCATATGAAGTGGAAGGTTTAAATCCTCCTCCAGATGGTGGCCCATAAACTGGTTTTGGTGGTCCGTAAGATTGTATTGGTTTTGGAGGAGGGCCATATACTGGTTTAGGGGGTCCATATTTTGTCTTTGGTGGTGGTCCGTATACAGGTTTTGGAGGTCCATAATTTGGTTTTGGAGGTCCATAGTTTGGTTTGGGTGGACCGTATTTTGACTTTGGTGGAGGTCCATATTTAGGTTTTGGTGGTGGACCATAAACTGGTTTAGGCCGACCACTAGATTTTGGTGGGCCATAAACTGGTCTGGGTCTTGATGGTTTTGGTGGTCCATAGTTCGAAGGCGGTTCTCTTCTTATTCTAACAAGTGGCTTATCTTCAGCTTCTACTATGTTGTAGAAACTTATTAAAGTAGTTAGTAATAATATCTGTAACAAAAACAAATACTTCTTTAGGTTAAAACTATGATGAAGTTACAAAGTTCGTCACAATATTTTTACGAATTTTTATAAGTAGTACCTACAAGACATTTTAGTTTTAAACTTTTATACTTAATATAATTTTTTATTTTAGTATAGTAAAACACCTTGATTATAAAACAAATAAATATTTATATATAATTTATAATATTCATCTCTTAAGTGTATGTCCAATCAATTTTAAAATACTATCTTATCGTACATTATTTTTATTAGTATTGAGTATTTAAAATAAACTAAAAAAAATCGCTCAAACACATTTTAAAATTCGATGACCTATCGTTGCGTTTTCAAATTGAATAACACCAGTCTCGGTGTCTATAATTCTTCTGTATCACAATTTTTAGTATATTGTTTATCGGTATTTTTTGCTATTATGTAAATATCATATATGTATATACAATATATTTAGTAATATATTTACTTTGAAAACCTAGGTAATAACTAGGATGGATCGGATTTCTATGCATCAGCGTATTTTTTTTTAGAATGCTTGACATGATGCTCTCCAATATACAAATGTGTTTCAAATACACACTATGCTAACAATGAACTTTTTTGTGACATTTTTGGAGGTTCGTGGTGAATTTTCAAGAAAATAAACATTTTTAGATCATTTTTAACCTATTTCTAGTAATATCACGAAAAAAAATATATATAAATATATATAATATATATAATATACTCATATATTGTACTAAAAGAACATATGGTAATCTGATTTTAAATGAAACTATTCACAAATTTATCTTAATTTCTGAAGAAATTCGTGGTCAATTCCGGGGAATATTTTCAGGACATTTTTTTTTTTTGTGGATTTAGGTCATAATGCATTTTTTAAAAGGACATTCAAATTTGATCACACATTTGCACACAATTTACGAAAAATGGAAATCTGTTTTTCAAAGAAATGTCACCATTTATAGGGTGTACATATGTTATAATGTGGTGTCCGGCTATACTAAATTCAAATTCTCGTATTGATAATTAGTAATTATCGGTGATCACCTATTCTTATACCTACTCATACAGCATTTCTCATCACCCTATATAGAAAAATTGTGGCAAATGCTAATTATGTAAGCAATTTTAAAATGTTTCATCTGTTAATTTATATTTTGTGTTAATTATACAGTTTTTCAGTTTTTCTTCAGCATAATACGTTTTTTACATTGTTTATATAAGTTACGAGTTTCAATATCAATCAAAATTTTGTAATGGAATATTTTTGCGGGGATATTTTGATTTCGGGATATTTTTCAGGGATATTTTGTTGTAGAACCATAAATGAAATATGTAATTGACATATTATTATATGTACGTATTCTTCAACATAGTCGTAACTTGGTTGTATTTTTTTAAGCGTGTATAAGTTGAATAACCTTTATATTTTGTTAATATAAAATTAATATACATTTATGTATATTAATATATTTTACTCTTATGTGCTTGCATAATAAAGATATTTTATTTGTAGACGTGGGTAAAATTCGAAATAATATTTTTTTTATCTATAATAGTGTAACATATGAGGGTTATAGGACATACTGTACCATTTAACAAATGTGGAAAACAAATCTAAATAGTTCTAGCATAAGATGAGTAGTGATTACTTTCCTGATTTATTTATTTTATTTTCATAATTATTGCCAGCTGGATTTTATTACAGTACCTAAAGACAAAAGTATTTAAGTAATATAAAAAAAACAAGATATTATGAATACAATAAGTTTATGCGAACAAAATACAAATTAAATTGTTAAGTATGCCTAAGTACGAAATTATGGGTAGTTGTTTGATATTAACATCATTCTTGTAAAGGGTGCATTTTTTGCAAGTTGCATTTTCGGCCTAGTGGCAGGTATATCGTATCTATATCTTTATTTCTGGTATGACCAGGGATACGGATGTTGAGCCGTTCCAGTGAGTGAGGGCCGTCGATGTTTTCATTAACTTATTGCTAGGAAGATAAGGAAAGGATGAGTTAAAGATAAAAAAAGTTATAACAAATAAGAATGAACGGAATTCAATGGTGAATACAGGCTTAATTAATATCAAATATGAAATTATTAACTATGCATTAATGTCTCAATATTTATTATTTCATATAGTTAGTCAATATATTTTTTTAATAATGATAAATGTACCTACTACTTTGTAATCAAATGTAAAATAAGGTGTATTTAAATTTAATTGAAATACCATTTATTTATACTTATAGACTTTAGATTGATAGGAATAGGAATATAGTGGTTTTAAAATCAATTTTTTCGTTTTTTCGTTTTATATTTTTGTATATTATTATTTACTTCTGGTAGTAAAAAAGCTCCTATGGCTCCTATGCTATATTAGACTTTATATTGTTGGTTCATTGAAAAGGTAAGTTTTGGATTTTCTTAATAGTTAGTTTCCACGTTAATAATATACCATAATGCGATTATCGTTTAGAAATCTGAGCCACTGAATTATCGTCTCATATACATAATCTACTCGAAAATCCTTTCCAATGATATTTTTTTTTTACCAACAATTAATAATTATTAATGGAAAATTATTTTGTTTTGATAACACTGTTATTTTAAGTTTTGTTTCACTTGGATTTATAGTTATTGAAACCTATAGTTTTAATATCAGGTGATTCACGTTTATTACGGTTAATGTATTTTTACGTATTTAAAAATATTGTTTCATTCTTATGCGCATCATAATATAATATCCCTTCGTCATTCTGAATCACTCCTCATTTTTTTTATTTTGCTTCCTCGTCCTACTGGGCTTACCTATACACTAAACTTCACTACTTATTGTCTTATGCGTTTTGCTAATAAATCTCACCCTCGCCTTTATCTATTTATAAACTAGGTATATTTTATTAATTGGTTCTTTTATTATTATTTCTTCTATTTATGATATTATTTTAAATATCATAAATTGTATCTAGGTATTTAAACTGTTTTTGGGCCTCGATTGTATTGTAATAAAATAAAACAATTTTTTTTTTTTAAATGCCTTATTTATACAGGTCCAATAATTTGAAATATAATTAGAAAAACCGAGATCCGCTCACAATCGTTTTTTTTTTTAATGCGACGGTTTATCGTTGCTTTCGAATAATCGAATGTATATATAATAATAATGATATTCCACAATCTTGTACCAAAGCGAAATTAGTGTTCAACACCTGGTATCTATATCCTGTTTTTTGTGTTTATTGAGATTAATAGCTTTTGATTAAGCGCATATAATACGTTCAAGAAAATTAAATAAACATGTTGCTTTTTGTTAATATTTTTTAAGAAATGGTTGTCCCCACGAATCAGCTAGGCACACAGTGCACACCACCTACACTAAGAGTGTCACATTGTTCTAACATCACGTATAGATCCTATACTTATGTTATAATATAGATTATATAGCTATTTAGTATTGTAATTTAACATAGGTGTCATACATTCAAGTATTTGACCGTCTGCAAATTGTATAAATATTAGGTACAAAAAGTCACTTCGTTCAGGTGACAGATTAAATTCATAAATCGTAAAATGTATTTGGGTAGTGTGTACACATCTTAATTTTGCATTCTATAGTTTATCCTATAGTACTTGTGGATGTTGGAACTTGCATAACATCTCACTTTTTCCATTCGCGTAGGATTTCAATGTCTGTTTTTTTTCTTAATCGACCTCGTGTGTAATACAGACAGTTAAATAGAATATTCCATTTTTGTACAGTTCGTATACTTCGCAATGAGATCATGTTTGTATATTGAGAGGTGTTGTGGCTTCGTTATGGGATTGTTTTGTATAAAGAGAACTTACGGTACACAGTGTCTGTACGAGACCAACCAGATTTTACGAAAGAGATTCCAATAAAACGATTCGATTACAACGTCTTATACAGTGGTGATCACACGCAAAGCGGAAATCCATTGTAATTGAAATAATACATTTATATTTATATAGTATGTACTATATATATATGTATTTTTTTTTTTATAATTTGTTAACCCGGTGTCCATATGAAAGTAGAATAATGAGATCAGGGCATCGTTATGAATATTATACAACACACAAATATATAGGTAGATATACCGGATGTTCAGGACAACATTTCTGACCACTGGTTCTAGTTGATGTGTTGACCTTCATCTACTGGCACCAATTCTTCGACCTATGTTTATGACCCCTTATTTTTTATTTTTAATGCGATTAAGAATAGTAACCCCATTGATGAGATTGAATTTAAATTTTTGAAATTTAGAAACTATTAAAAATTATGTCCTGAAATAATAAAACAAATTTCCAGAGAAGTTGCTTCAGTATTGTTGAGTAAAATGTAAATTATTTAGTTTATTCATATATTGCAATTTTCAGTTTCTCGTCTTTTAAGCTAATTTTTACATAGAACACAAAATAACTGTATGTTGTATACCGATGACAAATTGAAAATTAATCTACTATTGGAACCTATATGCAGAACAGTGTTTACAATTATATATTGATTGATTTCCATGACTTTATGATACTTAACATATTATTATATATTTATATCCCTATTAAATAAACCAATAAGCCGCCGTCGAACATATGTTATTTTCTTCTTAAAACATTAATCAAAAACAATATAGTAATATTAGTATTTATAATTTTAAAATGTCAACATTAAACCATTTTTAATCACGATTTGACAGTAAATTACCACTTTAACCGTATTTTTTTAAAGTTTTAATCATTGTTTAAATTGTCTCTTAGATGAAAAATAATTTAAACTATATATGTGTTAAAATATAAACTGTATGTTTATAAAACCGTAAATCATAAAACAGTCTCATGACTGAGTTGGTAAAATGAAACGGTTTGACGATTTCTTATATTTAAATTATCGTATAATTCTTCTGGTTATCATCTAATTGACCATTTATAGCTGTTTATTTAACTTGTTGATACTAT